AGTATCGCAGTGTCAGGTTGTTTATAAAAGTGCCCCCGAGTCATAATTAAACTGGAACTTTTACAGCAAGTGGACAAGTTGACATATAACAAATTGATGCCACAGAAGCCGAAGTAATTTATTAACCATTCCAGACACTTTTAAAAAGTAAACTTAAGTTTATGTTATAAATGAAATGTAGCGAATTTAAATTCAATGAATATTACTTATATTAAATTATTATAAATATTTTGATAAAAAGTTATTTTTACTTATACTTAATTATTAACAGTATTAATAACTAACAATATTTGCAATTAAACGTTGTTATGTTAAGGAAACGTTTTTATGTTAATTAAACTATTTATTAAATATTTTTTTAATATATGAAATATAGATATATGTAGGCCCACTTTTTCAAAGTACACTTCAATGTACAAACACTTAAGTAAACCTTAAGTGTTTGCATACTTATTATGTCTGATATCAGTTCTTGCATTATTTGTGGTAGTAAAAACAATGAAAGAGACAAATTTCGATCAAAATTTGGTCACAGTGACGTGACTTTGTGTGTCTTGTCAGTTTGGTCAAAATAGTATTATTCAGTAATCAACGTCGGAATTACTACGAGTAACTATTAGAAGTAAGTATATTGATTTTTGTGTGTATATGTAATGTTATCCACATAAAAGTAAATACTTTTCAAATTTTTGCATAAAACCTGCTAAAATAATAGTAAGGGAAGAAAATTGATAAATGTAATATGATCTTACTTCTGATTATATGTTATTGTTTTTTAAATGACTTAAATTATCTGAAAGCTTACCATATAATAAATTTCTAGTTACGGGCCTTATTCATAAAAAATAAGCACTGATGAAGTTCTTAATAAAGAACGAAATATTTGCCAACATTTTTAAATAAATGCGTTTAATTGTTCGGGTCTGTAAGCTGATAAGAATCAAAATACTTATTCATGAAAACACAATATCGATATGAAGCTGTAAAAACTTAATACCAAATTTTTCAGTGTTACCGGAAATCTTACTACTGTGCCATTGCACCGATGTTTTTACGGTGACGCATTTCGACAAGTGAGCTTTCAATAGCTTTCTAAGTTTGTGTCCAAAACTACAAGCAAAGCGACTTCAGTCCCTTGAAAACGTATTTTACTTGCCCGACAGAAATAATAAAATTGAACTTATGGATCTATTTAGGTTTATCTGGAAGCACAAATAGTTAGCAAGAACTTTATCGGAAATAACAACGGTACGTGTTACTCACATCACCCATCAAATTTCAAGAGTATCACAGTCAGCATTATATGTCTTCGAGAAGATTTATATATATAAAACACCACACATTATGCATTTTAAAAATTTAATGCAGCAAATAAATGCCATGTGAACCTTCCCTATAACGATCATGGTAACATCTACTGATAGATTTCGATAAGTAAATAAATATAAGCTAACTCATTATCATCGGGATATTCGATGTATGTACTTCTACTTTCCACTATTCAGTGGTTCGTTCTATTTATATATTTAAATAAGAGATTTATAATTGAGATCACACCCATCCTATATTATTTATTAACTTTCACTTTGTTAATTATTTATTTTGCTTTAATTTAAACAATTTTATACAAAAACAAACATTTTTATGATTATTGTATTAAATTCCATATATCCAGCGGATGAAACCCTCATTCTTTGATTTTCATAGGATTTCAAATAAGTTTATTTCGGTACAAGTAAAATTAAGATTATTAAGAGATTATTGTTATAGATACTTTTGTATGTCTTCCGTTCAGCTAATTAGTTTTATTTGTTATGTAAGTAAATTTGAGATTAAGCTATGTGAATGTTTCCCAATTCCATTTCTGAAAGACAAACGATATCTAATGATTAATTTATTCAAATTATTATTTATAAAAAGAGCATTAAGTTCGAAATGTGTAATAATATAGATTCAAATAGGACTATACCTTTCTGGTCAACAGTTTGGTCTTCATATGTTTCTAAAATATCTTGGACATGTTCGTTATCAACTCGTTTCTTCAGTTGATATGCTTTGGCAGGTGCTTTTCGTTTCAATTCTACAGGCTTGATTGGGGTTGAACCCTTTAAACAAGAAATACCTGTGAAATGATACAAGTAATTAGTATTGTACAAGAAACTGATTATAATATATAAGATGTATATATGTAAGTGCTCACCCGCCTCCTTTAAGTGGTTATCAATTTTTAAGTCTTCTACGCTATCTACATCAATGGATCGCCACATCTTCTGAATACTTTCATCAACCTTTTTAAAATTAAACATATACATAAATTATATATTTATAATATTGATTTTTGATAAAACACAAAAATACTTGCATGCATATCATCAGCGAAGTGATCATTGTAGAAAAGTATTTTTTTTTTATCCCCAGGTCGAGTAACTATAATAATATTTTTAGCGTATGCCTTTAAAACCTTGTCAACGTTTTGCAGTGACTCTTCGATCTCCTCGAGAAGCACCCCACCCAGGCCTTTAATATGATTGCGCCTTAATAAGCGCATGAGGGACTTGCCATCTTGAACTTTGTAAATTGGCTTAAAGGAAAACTTCTTTTTATCAGCGCTTGTGTCAATCTTGGGGTTATCTACGAGTGCCTCATATGCTAACCACTGCATAAGAAATAATATATAAGCATTTACCGATATGCATTTTAAAAGTTTTTACCTTCTTAATAGAATCGTCAATATTTTGTTGACCGGTTTCGTTCAAAATTTCATCTAAACTCAATTTTAGATCATTACCACTTTTATAGCGTACCTGCATGTGTTTAACTATAGTGGTAAGCACACCAAATCGAAACTTGGAAGTGAAGCTTCTAGATTCGTGTATTTTGGAAAATAAATTATATTTAAATAAACACCATAAATATTATATTATATTAAACTATATATTATTTCTTGAAATTGTGCAATGCAAAGAATTTATATTTAAAATTATAGATATATTATAGAAATACGTACTTATTGGTCTCCAGTGGGTGACCGTTAGAGAAACCATATTTCTTCTTACTACCAGCGCTAGATTGCTTTCCAACTCTATATTTAATAAAAACATGTATTATAATAATATAATATTCACGAATTTACATACATTGGTAAAACAGAATATGCAAATTCTTTAAAATCTTTTGAATGGTCCGGCTTATCCATGTTCGATACGTTTTTAATTTTTTTACTCGTAAATGTCAAATGTTTAAACAAAGATGTCAATTGAATATACAACAGCTGTTCACAATAGATCTTCAGAATAGCTATTCGCAATAGTTATTTACAAGAGAATGTTGTCACTTATTCATATATGTTGTACGGAGATGAGCACCCAATCAACAATTTTGGTACGAGTAACAGGGAAAAAGCTTCATCTGGCTCCCGTATACTGAATGGTTGGTTAGCCGTTTTTTGTTTCTAATTGTTTTAAATAATTATTGGTCTATTTTAGTTCAAGCATATTTAATAACTACGAGAGAATACCACAATATTTGTAAATATGTTTAATAGCTTTATAGTTGTATGTTGTAGCAGAATTATAAAATAACTTTTTCTTAAAACTTTTCATGGTTTGTTTTTAGTATAAATTAATAAAAAATATAATACTGGTTACACTTTGAGGGAAATGGTAACCGCCCGATTCCATTATCGATTTCGCTGATGATTACATATTAGTACTGTCAATATAACTGTATAATATTAAAGTATTTATGCTCAAGTGAATGGCCCAATTATGATCAAATTTTCAAATAGGAAGTTGTTAACGCCAGAATAAAATTGCATCCACCTTCCACTATCTTTGAGATGACTGTGAAAGGCTCTGTCTATTTACCTAATACACATGTGTGAGTATTATATATGTATAGTTAGTTAGTTAGTTAGTTATTATATATGTATATTTATTATACTGCAAACATATTTTCAAATTTTTAGTTAATTAATTGAAAGATTACTTTTAAAAAAAGTTTATTCACATGTAGATATACATAATAGCATGTACAATACTGAAAACAGTTATGTTCTTACAAATATATGAATTTAGTAATTTATTCAAGATAACCTACGTTTTCATAAAAATTTCTGTAGGCTTTATGAACATATAATAATTGAGGGAATATACGTACTTTCGAATTGCTATGCATTTATACTATATATTATATAGTATTCAATCTAAAACATTCAATCTACTACTTATTCACAAAAATTTTATTGCATGAATTATTTTTTTGACAAACGTGGCTTATATCAAATGAATTTAATATATATTTTTTTAGTTTTTGAATTCCATAAATTCTAATTTTTTAAGACGCTAAAGTTTTAAATATGATTTCGAAAAGTTTAAGTCATAAATATTATATTAAATCTTATTAAATGAAGATGAAAAGAGCAGTTTTTTAAATTTAAACAAACTCATGTTAATGTAGAGTGTTTTCATCTAACATTAGTATTTTCTTTTGTAAGCATATCACAAAAGAACAACTACTTATTTTAAGTAACATATGAACATTATTTAAATAACATATGAAACAACAACACTGCTGGCTTATTTAGTCCAACTCTTTTGTAACCGCTTAACTAATAAGCAACCCAAATCGCATGGTTGCCAAGACAAAAATTCATCTATTGTGAATGGTTTCTGGAAGAATGTAAAAAAAATTTTTAGTTTTTCAACAAATATTTGACAAATAATATTCAATTCTTTTTAATTCACTAGTTTTTCCTGTCAAATTTGATAAAGCCTGAAAATACCAATTTTATTCACAATCATGTGAAAAATAAAATATTCTTACCCACAATTGCAAAGAATTATTATTCATTTTCAGAACTTTAACTTTAAATTTTATTATGTGTTTTGCATATGTAACATAAGCCTAACAAAATTTCCACTTCTTCTAGAGTTGCCATCCAACGTAGTGCATATATTAGGTCTGTTCCACGAGCTACTCATAGTAAAACATGAGTAAAACAGAAGTAAAATTTACACAAAAATAGTTGAAAATTTGCTGGTGAAACGCGCTTGTGTATACACAGTGTTTACTCAAAGTTACTATGAGTAACTCGTGCAACAGACCTATTATGTTGTTTTTTTGCGATATGCTTACAAAAGGAAAGTCTTATTGTAATATATTTCAAGTGATACTTTCTGATTGTTACCAATGCAATAATATATATATAATATATATATATTATATATACATTGTTGTTCTTTTGCGATATGCTTACAAAAATTAAGTAATAATCTCTGATTGTTATCAACTCACTTCTATAATATATATATTATTGTGAATATGGAATTTAAAGAGGGTGGAAAAAACGCAACAAAATATAGTTTTTATGTTGTTCTTTCTCTGATACTCTCTGATTGTTACCAATTCAATTCTATAATATATCAGATCTTATAGTATAATTATGCTATTATGCGATAAGGTTGGTGATAAAGAAGTTGAGCACTTTGATAAAAACTAAGTGATCTATTTTGTTTGTAGACTTTAAAAAAAGTCTACAAACATTGCTTTGAAATAATTAATATCAAAGATCAAATTTTCCAAAAACATCCATTACTTTATAAGTGTTAAAAAATGGTTTCTGTTAATATCTCGATATATCCTTCACCAATTTTTTATCTAATGACCAGACCATATATTAACAAAATTAGATTTTCTTATGAATGTAAGAAAATCTTTTTACAGTTGCTTTAAATAGTTTTCCTTTGCTTGTCAGTAATTCTAAACGTATAAATACTGTTTGAATTTTTCTAATATTTACCAATAGCGTTTCTTAAGATTAATTTTACACTAAACTCCATGACTAGGTAATTAATACATTAATTGCTCTGCTGGATATTGCCATGTACCTACTCCAAGCTTGTTACTACATTACCCAGAAGACGTAAAAGACTCTCCCAATCAGCGTGAAGTTGTGCAACAACTTAATTCTTCTGAAGATATTAACGTGTTTCTAGGTTATCCCTCTGGTTAGGAATGCCATAATTTTATAAAAGCTGTTCGATGGCTATGCAAAATAGAATACATGAAAATAAAAACAAAAAATTAATATGAAACCTACTAAGCCTCTATGAAAGGTTATATTACACAGAATAGCAATTATTTTTGTACGCAAAAATTTTTCCAACAGGCGTGGGCAACTCCCAATAGCAAAACCAATTTTAATATATGCAAAGCAGAATAAATGTGGTGCACATGTACTTTAGATAGTCAGCTTTGATTCATAGCTATTTCTGCGCATGTCTAACAATTATTTTTAAACGTGCAACGCCTTTCAGACAATTTTATTAGATAGTTTTTTAAGTCGACTGTAATTACTTGCCGCATATATTCCATCTATATATTGAAACATTTATGAAACGTATAGTCAGTCTAGTATACATTTTCCGAGGCATATTTTAATTTTAAACAATTTAAATTGTAAATTTGTTATTTGTTTTATTTATGTATCGTATATTTACTATTTATCTTGAGGTTTTCAATTGAAATTCATATCAATTTTCCAAGCTTGCATATGGTAGACATAATGAATTAATATTTCAGCTAAAAGCGGAGCAATTTAAACAACAATTATAATTATAGTTTCTTGGTGGTCTTTGTGGAAAACCTAAGTGGCTTAGTATCGAAAAATTAGAAAATATTACTGAGTGAAATATTATTTCCCCTTTTTTTAGAAAATTGGTTGACAGTTTTCTTATAGTGTTTAAATGTTTAATAAAATTATATATTCTCCGGATCAATATTTACTCTAATCTTTTTGACTGTTACATGATTCGATATATATTAAATTTCTGATTTTTAGTGACAAAAAGTTCATATACATTTTTTTGATTTTGTCAACTAAAAAATAAAAACTGAAACAAGTGATAACGCGAAAATGTCAGATCTAAAGAAAATGGATAATAATAAAGCAACACCGTACAATCTTTCATCGAGTCACTAAAACTGTACTAGGACTCGCATTATCTTTGTGAAGTACTAAATCTTTTCTATTAATCTGTTTGGCATTATCAACGCACCAGCTCATGTATTAATAAGTCAAATTGCGCTATCAGGTACTACCGCATTCATTAGATCTAAATCCGTTGACATTTTTCGGTTCCCAAATTTAAAAAGATATCTAACTAAAAGAATGTTTTGTTGATCTTGAAGAATTTTATTTTTTAAAAGTTTTTAAAGAATTTTAGAATCATCATAACAAGATCAAAGGGGAATACTGTTAAATTATATCAATAAGTCAACAAAAATTCAGCGTCTTTGTTTTTTTATTACTGACTTATTAAAAAGTCCGTTTGTATTATCAAGTAAATTCACTATAACTCTAAAATACATATATGTGCGATAGGCTTTTTTAAATTTGTTTGACGTGTTAGAATCTATTTTCTCAAATATATTTCTCAAAATAATCACCTTTAGCCAATAGAACATTGATTCTAGAGACAACTTTTAAAGCTGTCAGGTTTTAAAATTAAGCACAATCTTTAAAATTAACCTAAGTTTAAAGAATTATCAGATTGTTTTACTTTCACTTTAATACGGGAGTCGACCATTCCAGCATTGTTCATACACTGACCACAACAATCACTTTTGGAGAACTTCTGATCTGACACCAAGTGGGATTTGTGATACAAGGCAGCCACTCGAATATAACTTCACCTAAACTTGTTCGGAATATTCATTAAGAAGTATATATGAGGTTCATGAAAATAATACTAAAGCCGACAAAGTGACATCACAGCCATGGGAACTATATATATTCGTTATCAGCATGAAGGGGTGAATCCATTAAAAATGCACGCCTATTTTTCTGCTCTGTCAAATATTTATGGTAAGTATATCGGCACTACTAGCAGAAGAAATTTTGCTCCAACAATGGTGTTAGTCTGTAGTTTAAGGTTATTGTCTGTGGTTTATGGTTGTAATCTGTTGTTAGTGAAAATAGTCTGTCGTTAATTTAATGGATTAAGTGAGAAAGATATAGTAACACAATATATTTATTTAGTTTATTTACTTAAATAGAAAGAAATAGAAAGGGGTTAACATATGAAACTTGATTCCGAAAGAGATAAAGAAATGCATAAAGGTATGAAACTTGGGTGCGTTGAAAATTTTCAATCAATAGGATGGCTTTGTAATTGTAACGCAATGTACTGTCAAATTTTTTAGCATATGGACGTGGACCATATGTT